TGTGACCGGGCACAGGATTTCGTACACTAACGCTTTACCGTTTAACGAATCAATCCGTTTACTATCCGTTTACTATCCGTTTAAAACGGATCATTAAAGCGTTTAAACGCTTTCTTCATCCGTTTAAACGCTTTGCTCATCCGTTTAACGTTTTCGACAAAACGTTTAAACGGTTAACCTATCCGTTTAAAATAAAATACATCCGTTTAACGGTTACTTGCATCCGTTTAACGAGGAGAGCGAGATTTGTTTTCATGATTATGCAAATTTATTTCGATTGACGTGTACGGCAAAATTTACAAAATCCGTGGCTATCGAGTTTCTCATCTTTTATTTCCGTCGATTGAAAGGAAACGGAAATTGCTTTATAAAAGCTGTAATTACACATTACTTTACGAAATCGAATGCAAGATGAAACACGAGCGAAAGAAAGTTGAGTTTTGTTACATGCGTATGCAAAATTGTTTCGATTAACCGACGGTGAAATCTACAAAATCAGCGGCATTTCTTAACGTTTTCACTTGATAGTGCGTTTTCATTTCAGTCAATACGTAGAAGAAACAATGTAGGAACATGAAAAAAAAAACGACTTTGCTTCTCAACTCTATTTTCTTTCTATCGAGAATGTTCAGTCCACATGGTATGATTGACAGATTGCTTCCTCTGCTCATACAAATTTTCAAACGCATTGCGAGCTCTCCAGGGCGAGACTCGCTCTCGGCTCGCTTCACTCGCCAGTGGATAGCTTAATTGCAGGCTAGTAATTTCATTTTACTTACCGTAGTTTTCTATCGTTGTCGGTCGAATATTATTAGTATGAAACGTCAGTGTTCCGCATGAACAATTCGTATAATTGTTCGCAACGGTTTCTGATCGATATGTGCATGACTTTCCGCCGTTCTTTAGCCCTCCTCATTCGTTCAAGGTTTTTGTCCATCCGTTTAACATTTTGAGCTATCCATAAAAATAATATTTATAGATGCTGTTCAACCGTTTAACGTTTTAAGCCATCCGTTTATTTTTTTTCTCGGCCGTTTAACGGTTTACGGAATCCGTTTTTGGACTTTGCTCTACCGTTTAACGCTTTGGACTATTCGTTTAAACGGACATGCAAACCGTTTAAACGCTCTTACTACCCGTTTACTATCCGTTTACAAACCGTTTATTTTTACCCGTTTAACGGAAAAGCGTTAGTGTACGAAATCCTGTGCCCGGTCACATTTGTTAAATATGTTCTATGGTGCGCTGAGTAGACATTTCAATGAAGTAATGTAACCTGCACAGTGTCTTCAGTTGTGTTCTGCTGTGGTGGCGAAGAATGTGATTGACAGCCTTCCTCTAGTGATATTAGTTAGTTTGTCAGTGAGAGGCATCTCGGCACAGCTCTTTAATTCTCTTCACAAATTTGCAAGAAAGTGTACATCAGTCAGAAGAGGAAGTTGGAATATTAAGAGATTGGAAGATTGGGAATGTTTTTGAGGAGGGCGCCAGCAGAAGAATATTAACATAAACGGAACTTTTATTGCATGGTCCCACTTCAGATTAGCGCTGAAAAGACGAAGGCCATGCACGCGTGATAGATAAAACGAGAAAGACGCAATTCGGAAAGGATCCTTCCGTTATCTGTTCCCTAATTTTTTTATTTGTTTTTATTATAGCTGGCAGTCCTCTAGATTACTATTTTTGGAACTTGACCAATCAGAGCGTGCGCTTTACTTTGGTTGTTATAATACTATTTTGAGCTTGACCAATCAGGGCGCGCGCTTTACTTTGGTTATGTTATAGTACTATTTGGAACTTGACCAATCAGAACGCGCGCTTTACTTTGATTATGTTATAATACTATTTGGTACTTGTTTTTGGTTGCTAGCACCACACTGTGAACCACGAATGATGATAAACTGCTGTTTATTTTCTCTCACATTTTTTTTGCTTTTTCACTTGTTAAACGATTCTTACATTTTCCTTTGCTTGTCGCTAAGTGCATCATTGATTGCTACCTTCTCTTCCTCTGTTTACTCTATCGTTGTAAAGGACCACAAGTCGCCCTCATGGGTGACCTTTGCGTTCAACTTGGCATCTACCCGCCAGTAGTACTTCACGCCGCCATTAAGCTCTTTCCGGATTTTCACGACGTTGTCTCCATTTCTTGCAACGCCCTGTCGCTTTAAGTTATCAGACGAGGTTCCAAGGTAAACAAAATGGGTGGTGGCTTGGAAGCCATTCAGCCACATCAACACGTCGCGTTTGTCCGCCTTTACAGTATTGGAGCCATCGGGAGGGACTGGGTTGCTAGCTTTGTACAGCTGCCGTCCAGGAATCCAGTACTTTCTCTTCGTCTCCTCGAAGCTGTAGGGACCCACATTGTTTTGGATGTAGGCAGACTCTGGTCGAGGTCGGAAATCCATATTGTCTGGGTCCATTAGTTCAGTTCGCACGTCGCCAATGATGTTATCTTTGAGTTCACCGCTCATGGAGAACAATTTTTTGTTGTGTACGCCGCCATTTGCGATGTCTGCCGCGTTGTACTCGACTGAAGTATTATGATTGATTGACACTGGGTTTTCTCTGACATACCTGAATGATGAATGAAAGCAAACACTGGAATGAGATAGGGATATTAAGATAGCGTTCTAACTAGAAACCCAACTTATCTTGTACTTTTCTGAACCACATAGACAACGCTTACCTGCAATCAGCGTTATAAATAGTTGACACATCATATTTGAAGAGTTTTATTCATGTGTAGAATAACACCTGTTTCTACAACAGCCTGAGTCATTGATAAGACCCCTTCCTCCATTCAAGGTTGCCTTAGGTAGGTAAAAGTTCATGGTACAACATTGGTATAACATTGTTTTGAGGGAAGGGGCGAATAGGTTAACAAGGGCAAAAGAGATGGAGATGAAGTACATGTAATAGAGGGTTGAAAAGGTAATGCGTCAACAATTAATTTTTTTCACCAATTGCGGGTTTCTGTTTCTGTCCTGTAATAGGATACTAATCTATCGCAGGTTATCTCCCTTACCCCACTCCCCCAAGAATTTAGCCTAGGTTTGCCTCCAAGATGACCACCGACAGACGGGCACTGTTAGATAGAGAAGTGTAATAAGAGAATAAAATCTCCCATCTGAAAGGACACTTAGTCAAATGCAGAGCTTTCGATCCGGGTTTTTGGAGGTTTCAGCCCATTGCACTCCCATCACCTTTGCGAGTTCTCCTCCTGTAGTGAAACAGTAAATGCATTATGATTTCGACACCGTAGAGAGTTTCAAAGTGGACGTTTTGATACGATAGCCCCTTGTCAGGGTGTACCACTGCGAGAAGTATAGCGTGACGCTCAAAACAAAAGCTACTAACGAATTAAACGCATTTCGTACCAAAGCACACAGAGGTTGCATTTGCTTCCTTGTCCATCATGGTCGCCTCCCTTCGTGAATTTGTGAAAGATCAAGTTGTGGTCCACAATGTGGTTGTCTCCCTTGACCATCATCCCGTTTGTCTTCCTAATGACGTTTCTCCTCATGGTACCGTTTCTCCCAATGTTGGGAGGAGCCCCGTCAAAGCGAAGTCCATATTTGGGACTATCGTAAATCCAGTTTTGCTCTAACAGCACATCTGTTTGACGTTTCACCTGAACTTGTATCCCACTGCCGTCGTGTTGGATCATGCCCCAGCAGGTTCGGCTGATGTCGTTGAGTTGAGCATGTGATTTATATCCCGAGCGATATCCGACGCTGGCGCCGTTGTTCCGCAGAGTGTTCCTGATAAAGTTGTCGCCAATACTTTGGGAAAGCACTGTTCCTCCCCCTTTAAAATATTTATTTTCAATCTTAATGATTATAGTTTTCAGCCGTATTTCCTAAATGGACACGATACTTTCACAACGTGACAAAGATTGACACCATGGAGTCTGGAAAATTCCAAAGCTATCTTGTCCTTCACAGTCGAAATGGTTGCACATACAGTGCGAAGCATATTAGAACATTTTTGATGAGAATTGAGGAGTCTTAATATTCCATAAATATTTTAACAATAACGAAGAGAAATAGTGTAGTATATATTGCAGGCAGAAGGGAGAAATCTAATTCAGATCTATGAAGTCTGCTATTTACGGGCTAAGCTAGAGACACACGTTTCAAGACGATGTGCTCTCTGCGTCAATGTCATGTGAGTTTGTTGATACACATGAAGTGGACGCGGCGAAAAATGAAAACTGCGTGATTGTATTCCTTTGCTTATCAATTGTGAGGTCATTAACGTTGAAGTGCAAGATTTAATGGACATCTGTGCCGATGTTTAATATCTTAGCAAATCTTGTAAGAAAAGAGCTGCCTAATGTAAACATGGTAAAGTTTTGCTCTTCAGTTTTAGTCTCTCGATTCAAAAACCTGGAATCTGACTAATTTCGTCATCTTGGGATATTTGCCATCTTTTTGATGATTGTGGGAACTATTGAACAACCAGTCAAGTGGAATATGATTGCGCCTTTTTTAGTAGGGAAAACTTTTCCTTCCATCTCGATAAAAAAAAGAGAAAAATCCTAAACGTAGTTTCTTACCTCCCCCAGCACCGTTCATGTTTGCTCCACTCCAGTCGTTGTACTCAAAAAAATTATTCTCCACCAGATCGTTGGCACCCTGATACTCCAAAGCAATACCATCTGTTCCGTATACAGTGTTATTAATGAATTTCATCGAGCCTTGTCCGGACATTATCTTTGTCCAGTGAGGCGGCGTCGTGTCCCCGAGCATGCGCCGATTGTACGTCGGGTAACTGAAGTTAATCGAGCGAAATTCTAGCTGGTTGGAGGACCGCGCTTGTAATGTTGTCGCAAAAAAGGTCAGATCTTTGAATACGACGTACGCAGAACTTGTGATGTTGAAAGCGACTTCCTGAACCTTCGTAACGGAATGGAGAGGAGACTAAGAGTTTTAAAATTAGATGAATTACGTACGCATTTTGATTGGTTCTTAATTATGATCTATTGGAGGACAAACGCTTAGATGACGTCACCAACAAACACTTTTGGCTTCTTTATTATATAAAGAAATAGATTCAACGTTGCCGTGGGTCTGCCCAGTAATGAGGGGGGTAAAGGATATTTTCGTTATTTGTGAATGGCCTATTTTTTTTTCTCGTGAAATGTGCAATAGCTTGTTTTTGTTTTTCTCGTGAATCGTGATTTCATTGGTAGCGGTGAACCGTGATTTTCCAAAATAATTCTCCGTGAAATGAGAGAGAAGTATTTAATTCGTCGTGAACCGTGATTTTGGTTGTAGTTTCGATCGATAGTAATTAACAATGACCGTGAATTATGAAAGTACCAATTTATATTCCGTGAAACGTGATCTTGATTTCCCAACCCCCCACCCCCCTCCTTTACCGCCCTCAGTAATAAATCATAGACGACGTCAAAATGTGGTAGGATCATCATTGACTCACTCGGCTACACCTTGTTTGTGGCCCTTTTGTTCTTAGCACACTTTTACGTCATCTGTGAGCTAATACAAGAGAGATGTATCACCACGTTTACGTGAAACGGCAAACGTCAGCTTACCCTTTCATGTTTCACGTAAAATAGCATGAACTTTGCAGCTTTAGTTTCGAGTGAGCTCACGTCATGCATATGGTGAATTTGAAGGCGCCTTTGTGTGACTTACAAGAAATAGTTTTGGTGCCCTTTTTCCGGTGATTAATTTCTATTCTATGAGAGAAAAAGTAAAGAAAATCTTACGTACACGGAAAAAGCGAGGCAAGGTTACTTTTACGTAGAAACGGCAAAGCGCAATCGGCAAACATGAAAAAATGACGGGAAAAACAATGTCACGTGGTCATTTTTGCCGTTCACGTTTCACGTAAACGCGGAGTTAAATCTCTCTAATACTAAACAGGCGCACGGCAACTAATTTTTATATGCACGGTATGTTCACAGAGGTTGTGTTTCAGTTAAAAAGGAGACCACAGTCGCTTTGTTAATTTCTAAAAATTCTTCAGAAAATTGATAAGTGAAAAAAAAA